GGGCTTATAAGAGCCAGTTCTAATGGATTGGGAGGCTTAAATTGGGTGACCCTGTAGGGTTGAGAACCAACTCATTTAGGCTCATTTATTTATTTAAATTTTAAAATATTATTTATTATGATAATGTTATTAATATTCTTAATAATATTTCAAATACTTAATTGTTATAATATTTTTTTTAGAATTGAAATGTACATAATACTTTAGTTTGTCTAATATTTTTTAGATAAAATTTTATTTGTTTAATTCTAGATAATGATTTTTTTGTACAAAAAAATACTTGTTTGATCTGATTTAGATTATGGAAATAATTTAATTCATATTACGTATATGTATTAATATTTTTAAATTACATTTTTTAATAATAGAGTAGTTTTATATTTATATAATTTTATAGTGTGTGACTTGAATTAAAAATTTATAAATTTTAATGTTTTATTATTTGAAATAAGGGCATTTTTGTATAATCAAGATACTGTAGATATTAAAAATTAAAATGTTATTTATGTGATTTGACATTAAAATAAGATTTTATATTACTGTGAAATGAATGAATTATTTTTAATTTTAAAAAAATTTAAAAAAAAAGTAAAAGCACTCGAAGCCTATAAAACTGGCTCTAAACCAATTATATTTGAGATTAGTCTTTAAATATGAGCCTTTCAAAAGATAATCAAGTTTAAAATGGCAGGCCCTGTAAAATTGGGTCAGCCAGTTTTCCCCGCTCCAACTGCCCTTCTCCGTTGCTCTATTTTTCCTTCCCATGCGTGTGCCCAATATTCGCCCCCCTTTATCCTCCGGAGACTTGACCGGAGTCAATGGGTAAACAAGCAATGGCGTCCGATATATAATAACAAATTAAAAGGACATAAAAGTGAACATATAATAATAATAATAGCAATAAATGTAAATGAATGCATCGTGTTTGCGGAAAGAGGTCCCAGAAAACATGTCGAATGCCCTCGAGCATGAAAACAAAAGGAAGAGGGGTGCACGGAAAGAGGGGCTCGACTTTACTTTGCAGCAAAGAGCAGTATGATTGAGGCCACTACGTTCTGTAGCTGATAGCTACTATACTATATACGATCCCCCATTTTGTGCTTTAATATGACAATTTGAACACACACACACACACACACACGCCATGTCGCATTGTTAGCTACACGGAGGAATTAATTAAGAAGAGAGGGTTCATTAATTAATTAAGTTGGTATGAAAAGGAGGCGACAGGCAGTGCTGCAGAATTCCAGTGTCGTTGCTGGCCTTCACTGAGTTGTCTAACGGCTGTCCTCCCACATAAGATGACAACATTGTTATTCTATGAAATTATTAAGGTGTTGATCCCATACGATCTCTGCCCTCCTTTCCCTCATCTTGTCGTTTTCTTTAAATGAGCCAGAATCGTTGCTGCCTTCCCCACCCACTGCTCTCGTCAACACCAACCACATTTACAGCCTTGCACTAAATTTTTATTATGTCTATTGTCTATTCAAACTTTTTGCCAACGCTTTGCTCAATAGGTTAGCTGTTGATAAAATACAAAGGGGTGATGCGGTTTATGTAACTAAATTAAGGCTTGTTCTTCTTGTTTTTGTCAAACATTACAAAACTCGAAGAGAAGAATTCGGGACGTCTGATCTGCTGTCCTTCAATGTATAAAATCTCAGCTTTTCATCTTAACTGATAGAGCAATTTCATCGATAATTTGTTTTTTTGAAAGCACCAGACACCCTAATTCCTTAAAGAAAATTGATGTTGCTGATGTATTGCTACGGTACAGACGACCCAATTAGTTTTTGATTAGTGTTGTGAGAAGGGGAGGGTAATGATTATATATATAAAAAGAAAATACCACGAGATGCATAACTCGAGGATGAGCATGTAATATATATAATGCAAGATGCCCCTTGTTACATGGCAAGTCATTGTGCCAGTGTGCATGGTTCGGTAAGCCATATATAACAAAGATAAATCATGAATCGAAGACAACGAAATGAGAATAAAAGTAAGCTGGCAAGTATCTATTTTTGGGAGAAGATGTCAACTGATCAAGACTATCGCTAACAAGTATATATAATGACGAATGATCCCAATAATAACATCGTGGATCTCTACGTGCGAAAAGTTGGATTGTATTGAAAAAGAGAACAAGACAAAGGGAATGGGGCAAGGGGTAGCAAGCAAGAAAACGATCTATAGAGTGCAGCTTAGTCTTTATAAAAAGGTTTTTAATTTCGTTGTTTTGTCTTGGTGGGGTTGCTAGCATTTCATATTATTAATAATTCATATTGCGTGGTCGGTCCAGTACTCTCTTTTTCATCAGAATCCATATCTTCTGTGTGATATTCTCGTTGAATTGTATGAGCTTTCATCATTCACGTCACACCCAATTTGCTCTTATTTTGGATGACAAATTAATAATTTTTCGACAATAATGTTTCTCCGTTTTCATGCCATTCAATATTGCAATATACTCCGGCCGGCTCGAGGAATTCACTGGACAAATTAACTTGCGAATTCAGCCGAAGCAAAATACTTTGGCCGAAACGGCAATTTAATAATCATTACTCATTTCAAATTAAAATAAGCATTTTTAACAATAATTCATATACCAAAAAAATCTTTATTTTTATAAGAATATATATTATTTTCTTAACCTTTAGTTTCAAATTATGTTAAACGAAATTCATAAATTCACAAACACATAAATTCATATTAATAAATACAAAGGGGTAAAAATGAGAAAAAAAGATTATAAATATTAATTTGTTTATATTTTGAATCAAAATTAATTGAAAAAAATACTTATATTTTAAATTAGATGGAATGTTAATTTAACTTTATTTTTTTGAAAAACGAAGCTTATGACGTGCCATGCCATTCTTCACGCTCCATGTGTCATCCTCCATGCAATGAAATTATTTTTTCCGTGATTTTTTTTTGTCAACAAACTTTTTGTGTTTTTAATTTGAAGATTAGAATAAAAAAGAAACCAACATTAACTTATGAATGTAAAACCTACGAGTTTCATACGTATATTCTATGATTACTAATAACTATAAATCAAATAATTTAGTTATTTTTGGATATCCCGTTTGAAGCAAGCATTTATTCTTTCAGCTAGCCTAGTCTTCCATTGATTAGCAAGCAATAAATACGAGATCTTTGCATCACTCTTGTCCCAATAAATACGCAACGTAAACTTATTTTCTTCATTCTAAATTATAAAATATTTTTAAATAAAATCTTAAATATTAATAAATTTTATTATCTTATTTTTTTTAAAAAAATATAAATATTTAAAAATATCTTTCATTTAATACTCCACTGATAAAATAATATTAAAAAATATATGAAAAATTATAATATTGAAAATATATCATTAATAAAATCTTATTTTTATCAAATGTCTTATATTTTAAGACATTAAATCTTTTTTAAAAGTGTCTTATAATTTGAAATGAAAGAAGTAAGAAATTAGGCGGAAATATGAGAAGAAGAAAAGTTCCAATATCTCGACTTTCATTTATATTCATGTATATTACGCCTCTGCAATCTATTATTCATTACTCTTGAGTTATATTTTTTTCATCTCAAATTATAAAATATTTTTAAATAAAATTTCATATATCAATAAACCTTATTAAATATACTTAACAACCTTATCTTTTCAAAATAAAAATATAAACTTTTCAAAATACCTATTATTTAATACATTAAAAAAAGGGATGGAAATTAATTATAAAAAGAGAAAGGGTAATATTAAAATTAATATATTTAATAAAATTTAATTTACCCAAAGTATTTATATGTTGGGACGGAGGGAGCAACCAATTTTTAGGAAGATTTGACATCTTAAAACATAATATATTTTGGCAAAAATATGGTTTAATTGATAATATCTTGTTAATGTTATCATTCTTATTGTATTTTCTCTCTTTAATATTTTTGGATATTTTTGAAAATTTATATTTTGTTTTGAAAAAATAAAATTATAAAGTATATTTAATGAGTTTTATAGGTATGCATAATTTTATTAAAAAATATTTTATAATTTGAGATGAAAGAATGTAAGCAGCAAAATGGAAGAAGCGTGTAATAAGTAATATTACAAACCTCAATAAATATTTAATATTACAAACCTGTTTTATAATGAGTAATTCCCTATGTAAATTTAATATTCCATTTGATACTTATTACAAGGCATCTTTGATCATCCCATCAGAATGGAGGAGAGATGTTTAAATCATTAATCTTGTTTCAAAAAAATAATAACATTTATACTTTACCTATACTTGAATGAAATTTATTTGAGCTTGTATTGCATTTTCTCCCATAGGTAACATGTTTAAATAAGAATAATATTAAAAAAGTAATTAATATCATGTTAAGTGTCTTGTATTAGGGACCCGTGTCTTTCTAAAGGTTGCATATAATAGTGAACGAAAAAAAAATTGTATATGAATATTTGAATAGACTGTATTTTAATATTGTTGTGCTTAACTAACAATGATTCTCATAAAAATGTTTTTTACATTTACATGTATTTAGACCTATATTTAAGTTGCTATAATCTTTTTTACTAGAATCAAATATTTTATCAATCTATCCGAACTTTTTCACTTATTAATGTGAAGTAAGGTATAAACACACATCTAGTACTATACTCCCTTCATTCCTACACATAAAAGATTTTTTAGAATATTTTTTTATTTTTAAATATAAAAAGTTGTTAGTATATTTTTTAATGAATGAATTATTATATCCTTATTGAATAAAAAAAATATTTTTATTAATTTATTTTAAAAAAGTATTCATCTTTTTATTTATAATAATCAGGTTATGTTTTTAATTAAATAATTATTTTTTATTAATTTATTATAATTTAATTAAAAATATTTTATACAGAGAGATGGAAAAATTCGTTTTTTTTTTATTTATCCAATGTCAACTTCAATTCTCATACGCATCATTAAATGGGACAGATCACAAAGAGCCAGCCATGTTCTTGCCGTCTCACTTTCTTTATCTCTCTATCTCTATCTCCTTCTCTCTCTGCATGAAAATGCGGATCCAGTATTACAATATAGACAACACAAAACATCGACATTTCCTCCCTCCTTCCATAAATGCGCTGATAAATAAAACCTTCCCTATACTGTATTCGTCCTCAAAGTTCAAACCTTACCCCAGAATCTGAGATCTATCCCCCTGTGCTTCTTCAACGTACGCCGGCATGTTCAGAACATTGTCAAGGTTCGCTCGTCAACCCTTCAAGTCGTTAATTTATAGACCTTGTTCAAAACATTGCCATGTGAAATTCTGAGGCCTGTTTGTTGAGTTTTTTCCATCCCCAGGGAGTTCAAATTCGCGAGCTTCATCAGTGAAGAGCTGAAGAAGCAAAGCAGATTCTATGCAACTGTTGGCGGAAGAAGGTGAGTCTCATTCTATATACCTTTGTTAACTAGCTAGCTAGCCACAATTCACGGACTTGAATGCGACGATCAGTATTCAGTCTGGTACTGACGTTTTCATTAAATATATATATATATATAACATACGAGTATATCTCCAAACTATTCATCTAACTAGCTTGTCCTTCGTGGCAAGGTGGGTGGGACAGATTGTCCTTCTAAATGATTCCTCTTTTTTTTTCCCCTGCTTGGCTTGTTTAAGCGCCGTAGCTTCAACCTATCGCTTGCCCGGAAGCTGATACTATGCTTCCTTGCAAGAACGAGAGAGAGTTTTAGGATTATTTTTTCAAATTTCGGGTATGTTCTGGAATGTTTCGGATTTTGTTTTTTGGGTTGAGTCATTTATTTCTTAGGAAAGATGATGATCACTTGTAAGGGCCATGAAGCCATTTCTCGCTATTGTTAGCCACTTGGACTTTTTTTTTTGGGGGGGGGGGGGGCGGTGGGGAGTTAATACTATTCCATTTTCCTGTTTTTAATTTCTAGCTAGTACTTTTTCCGGGATTGGATGGTGTTTTTCGTTTTGATTGTCATTTCTCCTCACGGAAAGAAGATCGACTTTCCACACTGATGCTCTCCTTGCTGATCACTTCTAAATGCTGATATATATGACCCCAGTTCTTGCGATTTTAATTAGTTAATCATTAAAATCATAAATATATATATATATATGCATACTATAAAAGCTAAAACCATAAATTTATATATAAATATATATAAATTTCGTTGTCACTTTCAAACGTGATACAAGCAGCAAGGGATCACTTGACTTATATTCTTTAACTTGTGTGCCCGTCACTCTTTTCTATACTTACGTGCTTGTTTGTCACAGGGGTTACACTAAAATTATGCATTTTATGTGTTGTAATGTAGCGTGTTTAAAGATTAAGTACAAAGTAACTAACAATTAATATTGTTTGCTATAAATTTAATCTTTTATATTGATATATATCGACGATTAATGTTGATATTGACAAGTATCCACTGAAATAGTGAAATCTCTGGCTCACTCATCAGAGCGTTGGCAGACAAAAACTTACTGCAGAGTAAATAGCAATTCATTATTTTAAGATTATCGAGAAAGGGATTTCAGTGAAGCACATGTAGGCCCAAATCATGATATACCTGCCCCTAAATTTGCATGTTCTCTTGCCGTAGATCTAGTAAGCATCACCTCCTTCTTTTTTACTTTATTTGTTTACTAAACGTGCCAATAACATATTTCCCTTTCCCATATTTTCCAACTGACAATATAGACCTTTAACATTGTAGCAGAAATTGGGGGAAAAAGTCAATAGAACTCCGATTCTCAGGCCATATGTATATGAAATCAGAAACCCAACCTTTCTAAGCTGTCCATGCGATATCATCACCCCCGCGCACACATTCATGATTTAGCATTTTTCAACTTCCCCAATGATAATCCATCTTTGAAAGTTAGATTATGTAGGTAAAGATCATCTCTCTCTGTCTTTTCCTTTTTCCTTTTCTTTTGTGTTCTTTTTCAAAGTCACACAAGAGAGGCAATTTTAATCAATCTTGTTGGAGGAAACCAGGGTCCACTACATCATCTTCCAACTTTGCCAAAAAAGAAACGATACTTTTCTGATTTAGACAATTGAGACAAAGCTCATTGTGTCATTTTCATAGAAGTCATCATGGAGAGTCCAACATTTTCTCCGTGCCCATTTCAAACTAGCGATTTCGTTTGGCATTATGTTTCCATCCTTGCTACTAAAATGATAGTTAACAATGATCATCTCGGCTGCAAAATACAGGCTAGAGGGCAAAGTGGCTCTGATCACCGGGTCAGCAAGTGGGCTTGGCAAGGCCTCAGCTCATGAATTTATCCAAAATGGGGCCCAAGTCATTGTTGCAGACAAAGATACTCTTCTTGGGGCTCAGGTTGCCAAAGAATTGGGCCCATCAGCCCATTTTGTGGAATGCGACGTTGCTAACGAGGCCCAAGTTGCAGAAGCTGTGAATATTACCATGGACCTCCATGGAAAACTTGACATAATGTACAACAATGCTGGAATCACAGGTCCAACCTTCTCACCCAACATCACCGAGTTGAACCTCGATGACTTTGACCACGTCATGCGGGTCAACGTCCGGGGCACAATCGCAGGCATAAAGCACGCGGCTCGGGTCATGGTACCGATGAGCTCAGGCTCCATTCTTTGTACATCAAGCATAAGTGGCCTCTTGGGTGGGCTCGGACCTTATCCATACTCAATTTCCAAGTTTACAATACCAGGGATAGTAAAGTTTGTGGCTAGTGAGCTGTGTAAAATTGGGATCAGAATCAATTGCATATCTCCAGCTCCAATTCCCACACCAATGTCGCTCGAGCAAATTGGAAAGTTTTACCCAGGCCTGAACCGAGAGCAAGTAGTTGAGATTGTGAATGGGCTGGGCGAGCTAAAAGGTGCAAAGTGTGAAGAAATAGATGTGGCCCGGGCAGCCTTGTACTTAGCCTCTGATGATGCAAAGTATATCACAGGGCAAAACCTTGTGGTTGATGGAGGGTTTACCTGCTTTAAAAATCTCAAGTTCCCTTCCCCTGATCAACTTGCCTAGCTCCTATAACTTATCTATGTGATGTAATGTCAAATATTATTGTTGATTTGTGTATTCACTGTGAGTTATTTCTTGATCCTTTGTTTTACTGGCTCTATGGCTATGCTTTTGGTATTACATGCATTAATGATTTGAAATCGAAAGGATATAATGCGATCCAATATTGAATCTTGCATGAAATGTGCGAAGTTGATAGGGATAGGGATGAACATAGACCCAGTCCTGCAAAATGCACGCCTAGACAGGACCAAGGCAGTGATATAGATAGACAAAAACAGGACGAAGCATTCTCTCTATTTTTTTAGTGTGCATGTTTCATTAATTCATAAATAAGGTTGACATCAAGAAGGACGTGAAGGCAAACTATTTATAAACCTACCAACCAGGCATAAGATGTAATGTTACATGGCTAACTTGCTTGTTGAGTGTAACTGCTTACCTATATTCAAATATACTAAAAACGATCAAGAGATACTCCTAACTTCTGACTTATATAGATCACCTCAAGCCTCTCTCTGTCAACGCCACATCCACCAAAATTTTAGAGGACTCCTTCTTTGTTATTTTTGGCCAAAAGGGAGCTTCTTCTGTATCAGAAAACAATAATATAAATGGTAATATAGGTCAACCCATAAGTTATGAGTTTGGTGAGGTAGATTGGCATAATTCATATCTTTGCAGGTTATATTTATACTAATCCGCGAGTAAAACAAATTTTTTATAATTTTAAAAATTTTAAAAATTATAAATTCACCTCTTTTTTTAAATTTTGCTATAAAAATCATCTTTTTCCTAAAAACTAATTATTTGAGTAACAATAAAAGTTTGCAATTGCAGCTGTCAGGGGACATTAAAACATAGGATGCACAGATACTGATGCGAGTAACAAATACAATACATATCCAATGCGTCGATGCTTTTATTTTAAAAAATATAAAATACAATATGTTTTTGATATGCGCGCGCGTGCACACGCACGTAAATCATTAAAATATTAAAAATATAATTTTAATTTATAAAATAGCCAAACTAGCATACATATGTAGTCCTTTATAGTAATACCAATAAAAACATAATCATTAATTATACTTCTTTTTGCCTTGATTAATTGTACATTTGTTCAATCTATATCTAATTGTTTATCACATAGTTTCTACTAATAGGTATAGTATCAATATCTTCTCCCCCTCGACTACCATCTATATAAAGGATGACTTCTATATATGGTTCGTCAAGAGGTACATTTGTCACTCTTAAAATTCCATCACCATCAAAGTCATCCCATTCATTTTTACTAACGTCCTACATCTTAGACTTGCTTTGTTTGTTTTCTTCACTTTTCTTATACAAGAGTCACAAATTAGGATAGACATAAACCAAGTGTTCTGTCCTTTTAAGATTCAACTTGCTTCTTTTCATTAGATGAATGAATGAATGGGTACTCTAATTCCTTTCATGAAGAGCAAAACTACACAAGAAGCTTAAGAGAAAGTTTTTTAAGTAGAGAGGTTGAAGAATCATGCATCACACACCAGCATTTGGGATCTAATGTCTACCTATCTTTAATAGAGTCTGACACTACTGTCGAATAGCACCAAAAATAATAAAAACTAGATTTTGCAGTAAAGCGCAACTTGGGTCGTCTCCCTAAAAGTCAATAGAGTAACTATTTGAATTATAATTATGAAAAGTTAAAAAGTTAGGAGATTTTTTATAATGAAATTAATTAAAAAATATAAATTAAAATTAAATAAATAAAGAACATTTAACTGAAAAAATTATCAAGAACAAGCAACGTAATTAATCACAATCCAATCACTTGAACTTAATCTTCTTCATCCACAAATTAAATTAATTCTATTTAACTTTATTATTCTATTTTTATTATATATTTTTCAAATTATCATTCAAAAATTAAACAAGAAATTAAGTTATAGAATAATTAAAATTTCTCTTAATTTACAACCTAACAACTGTTTTATGTTAGCCACACCAAAAACAAAGCAGGAGTAATCACTCAAGCCAAATCAAATTACTCTTAAATTATTATATCAATTAATTATAGCAAGTAAAATCTCAGATAAAATTTATAACTTAAAAATTATGCAATAAAGCTACTCTAAATTGTAATAACAGCTAAAATATAAAATTCAGAGATAGAGAGAAGAAGAAAAAATTAGAATAAAGCTAAAATAAAATCTTTTTAAATATTAAAAACTTTGATTAAAATTTAGAATTATAGTTTATAACTGATCACACTAAAAATTTAGCTCTTTATAGAATTAAAAATCAAACAGCATATTGCGAGAAAAAGAGAAGCCATCACTTGAAGAGCTATCACGTCTGTAGGCTTTATTCTTTGCTAACTCTGTTCTTTTTTTCATTTTGTGCGTTGCTTCCTTTATATATACAAAAGTGACGCAATTTCGTACGGCCAAAAAAAGCTAATAAATAAAATGATAAAACTATTTTAAGTAATCCTAATTGAAAACTACACTAAATAACTCAAAATAAATCTAAACAAAATTTTAAAGATTTAATTCTTAATTTAATCTTCAAGCATGCCTAGATTCTTCTTATCCAAAATATTTTTTATCAATATCTTTTAAATTAAATCTAAAAAATTTACACAGATAAATAAAATTAAAAGATACCTGTGCATAAATATTAAAGATATCATTTATATTTTAAAATTATAAATTTAGATAGTTAAAATTTTAAAACTAAATATTGGCTAATAAAATTAAATAATATCTAATTAAATTCAATTAGCCTCAAATAAATATTTAAAAGTTTAAATTAAAAGGATAAAAATATATAAAATTATTATTTATTAGAGTCAAAAGAAATATTGACTTTAAAGAATCAACTCACAATCTTGAAGTATCGGATACGTATCGAAATTGAATTTTTTAAAATTAAAAAAAATAATATTTTGATACTTTATGGATACATATCGAAAAAGCATCAAAGAGTATCGTATTGAATGTGATATTGATATCGATATGTGAGATAATGTGAAGTATCAATGCATCATAGATCAGAACAGCATGCAACAAATTTTTCTTGGAACACTTTAGACTTTGTACAATCACACAATTTAGTTAGATGCAATTTATCTGGTCAATATTTATATATTTTATAATCAAAACATGCATAATAATTTAATCCAATTTTGTTAAAATTATATCTTTTAAACCATGAAATTGTATAGTTAGATAATGTCAAGTGCTCCATACATCCTTTCTTCTTCTTCTTCTTCTTCTTCTTCTTCTTTTCAATTTTTTTACTCAGAATATAAGTTATAAAGAATTTGGACAATATAAATATAAAAAGTATTAATTTGCTATTATTGTCTAGTTTCGTTGATTTTTTTGTCTAATTGTTAATTTCATTATTCTTTTTTTATACAATCTAATAATGTTATTATTTAATGTAACAAAAAATATAATGAACTACACAAACAATTTTAAGTAATAAATGATGCCGCTCATTTATTAATTTACTTTCAATTCATGGGAGGTGTTTTTATTTTTTTAGTATATTGTATGAAGTTGAAAACTAATTTTAAGACCTGTTTTACTAATGTTATTTTTATGGCTCTTTTAAAACTTGATTCTTTGACTCACTTACATACTTATATGTTTTGAGTTTGAGATAATTTAATAAAACTAATTTTAAAATTTAATTGAGAAGTTAAGAGTCATCATCGACTAAGCAAACAAGGGTTCATCTTCTCAACTTATTTTTTATCCTTTTTTGTTTTAAAAAACGCAGGTTCAAGTTATGCGAAAACAGGTTAAAACCACTATATATACAGATGAACGTTTTTTTTTTTTTTTTAAATTCAACGCAACCCAGCTTGTGGGTTATCATCTCTAGAAATACAGTACGTTTTTGCTTTGGTGAATCAAATTTGAAGCTGAGGGAGTACGGATCCATTGTTAAAAGCTTTCATACAAATCTCCAAAATTGAAAACTATTAAATTATTAAGGAAAATTATTAAATTATTCTGTTAACTTAAAACTTCAAGTATCAATTTTTAAAAATTTACAAATTCAGCTCTTAATTTTATAATTTTATTGTGATAAATTTACAACTCATGTTTTAAATTTTAATAGGAAAAATAAATTTATTTATTCTTTAATTATGTTAAAATTTAAAAAATAAATTATAAATTCATCACAATAAAATTATAAAATTAAAAACTGAATTTGTAATTTTTTAAAAGTTAGTATTTAATATATAAGTTAAATTAATTGGTTTTTAAAACATGTTTTTTTCAATTATTAATGCCCTGTGGCCCATTGTTTCGTCCGGATCTGGCCCCCCTCTTAATGACGTGACGGGCTATGGTCCCTATTTAAAAAAATAAAAAACTCAAAATTAAACTGTATAGGGTGTGAGCCCAGATCAAGGCCGAAGGGCATCTGCATCAATTAATTAATATCACGCCTTCATTTCTATAGTCTTGCACGGAGCGTAGCACTCATTCCAAATTCTGTGAAACATATATTAAATGAAGTGATGCGGAAAAAGCAGAAAGAGGCCTGTTTTTAGTTTTTCTTCTATTGGGCTCTTCTCTTCTGATGATCGCAGAGAATATGAATTGGTGTTGAGCTGGAACTTGTCCCGGTGTCTGATGATGTTAGTCCGGAGAAGCAATTACCTAGGGACCCATTTAGATTTAGTCAATCTCTTCTTTTCTATGCTATGCTGGCAACAACAAGTAAAATTATAATATGAGTCATGCTTGAAGATATTATTCTTAAAAACTATTTCATTATATTAAATTAATTTCATAATAGCTCTTTAAAATTAAACAAACTCTTTCTATTAAAAAAAGGGACACATAACAACAAAAATTTACAGAACAAACTCAACTAACTACACAGTGAAATAATGTGATAGGATAAGAGAGAAAGGCCAAGAGCACAAAGGCTCTCCCAAAATTTATGGTAAGCCTTACTTTTATAGACAAATTTCATAATGTTAGGCAATAAAATTATATTAATCACAATTAAAAAATTCGTTACAAAAATAATGAGGCTACTAGATTTAAGAAGGAGGTCAAAGTAATCAATATT